CCGCTGGGCAGGCACATGACCCAGGACACGAGGCAGCGTAAGCTTCACTGTCAAGAGGAGGCAAGTGACCTACAATTGTATAACAGGCTCTGGGTGGACCCAGCCTGGCCCATCACCACCCTGGGCATCGAGAGGGGCCAAAGGAGCTGCTGCCTCTGGGGGAGGGTGCACAGCCGTGGGCGCTGGGGGACATCTACACGTTCAAAGCGAAGCCCCGGGTCCGAGGCTCAGCAGACACACAGCCCAGCTTCCATCCAGTCGAGGCTACATGGCGTAATTAGGAGGCGGGTCATAATGGAGCGGGGACAGGGGATTGCAGGAAAAGGGTTTGGAAACAGGGACATGGGAGGGCAGATCAAGGAAGGAGGGAGGCGAATCTGAGGAGAGCAGGTCTGACGAGAAGGTCGTGGGCCCAGGAGCTCATTGTTTATTTCATTCTAGACGAAATGCAGACCACCTGGCTCGCGCTCTATGGCGATCCCCTAAACAGCGGGGAACGTGGGTCCGCCTGGCAGAAAGTGCTCCACACTCAGGGACAAATGGGACCCCTTCTCTTACATTTCTAGTCTCCTGGGCTCTCCAGGCCTTTTGGCAGAAAGCCAACGTCTCCTCGCTGGGGTGTCTCCCTTCAAATGTGATCGACGAACACAGGGAGGTTTATGGACTCTGAAGGGAAGAGTCAGTTCAGATTCCACAGGGAACGGGGACTGGATACAGTGTGTGCTTACAGCCAGTTGCCTCCCAAAGATGCCAACACTGCTGAAATGTGACCCTGACTTTCCAGATCCTTCCAGAGACTGCCAGACATGCCCATTGCCTTGGGATCAAGCCCGGCCTACACGGGGGCTCCAAATACTGTTGTGCAGATTTTTTAAACCCACCCACTGGCACAGTCAGGCTGGCAGCCTGGCCCAGGAACGCGGCCTCAACGTTGGCCACCTCACGGCCTTGATGATGGTTTTCCCTCATTGTGATCCACTTGCAAAGTCTCATCTCCTTTCCCTGGTGTATGGGGCTGCCCGGACGCTCTTGAAGGAGGATGACCTTCTGGGGTGTCCCCTCACCCCCACCTTCTCAAACAGGGCCCCTCAGAGGCTCCAAAGGGAGACGTCTTTCAATAGCAAGCCCCCTAGTGGGTTCCAAGATGGTCTCCTCTCAGAGGCTCCCAAGAACGTCTGCCAAGAGGAAAGACAACAAATAGAATCTTTGGGGCAACTTCTCACTTCAGGAGCAAAGTTTAGAAAACTGTAGGTTTGTCTCCTCTGCTTTACCTCAGGCCACTCCCTTTATCCTCGTCACCCTCCCTCCCACCCACCCAGGTGGCTGTCTTCCTGCTGCCCCTCCCCCATCTCTCCGTCTCCCCACAAGCCCCTACTTTTCTTCTCCAAGTCTACCTCAGTTTCCCCCTCCATGTCCATCATCCCACTTGGCCTCATATCTCCTTTAAGAATTTTGTCTTTAGAGGCGCCTGGGTGGCTCAGTCGGTTAAGCGTCCGACTTTCGCTTAGGTCATGATCTCGCGGTTCGTGGGTTCGAGCCCCGCGTCGGGCTCTGTGCTGACTGCCAGCTCAGAGCCTGGAGCCTGTTTCGGAGTCTGTATCTCCCTCTCTCTCTGACCCTCCCCTGCTCATGCTGTCTCTCTCTTTCTCCTAGAAATAAATAAAACATTAAAAAAAAAGAATTTTGTTTTTAATTGGGAGTTGAATTTTCTTTATAAAAAAAATTTTCTGTTTATTCATTTTTGAGAGAAAGACAGAACACGAGCAGGGGAGGGGCAGAGAGGGAGACACAGAATCTGAAACAGGCTCCAGGCTCTGAGCTGTCAGCACAGAGCCCGATGCGGGGCTCAAACTCATGAACCGTGAGATCGTGACCTGAGCTGAAGTCGGATGCCCACCTGACTGAGGCACCCGGCCGCCCCGGGAGTTGAAATTTCTAATCACAAATTTATGACCTAAACACTGGCAAAAGTTTCTAGCTGCATGAGCGCTGGAGCAATAATGCAAAATTACCAGAGAAGGTGCTGAATAGGTGGTGGTTGCTCAAGCAGAAAAACTCATTTAAATGATTTAAAAGCAGTTATTAGAACACACTATTTTCCCATTGCCTTTCAGGAACTATCTCCTCCATATAGTACATGTATTGTAACAGAAACCCCAGACACAGTATTTAAAACTGGCGATCCGAGAATCTAACTCACAAAGGCATTACTGCTGGTACATGAGTTTCTTTTAAAAGTGAATCTAGTTCTTTTCTGTACTATCAAAAGTGAGAAAAAAACAAACATGCACTATGCACAAAGATGTGGAGTAAAACACCAAAAGCGGCAAGGAGTTAAGGTGGAAGAAGAAAGGACTGACATGTAGAAAGCGATTTTAAGGACGGAGAGAGTTCTCTGGCTGTGGACGAAGGACAAACCCACCACTGGCTGTAGGAGGACATGCTCAAACAGGGGCCAAATGAAAACTATTTCTCCAAGCGTCTCAGTGGCTCGGCAGGTTAAGCTTCCGACTCTTGATTTCGGCTCAGGTCATGATCTCATGGTTTGTGGGTTTGAGCCCCGCATGTGGCTCTGTGCTGACAGCATGGGGCCTGCTTGGGATTCTCTCTCCCCCTTTCTCTCTTTGCCCCTTCCCCATTTGCACTCTCTCTCAATCTCTAAATGAGTAATAAACTTAAAGAAACTATTTCTCCTCTGAGTTGTTTGTAGGTTTTTTCCCCCTCATCATCCAAATTTTATTCACGATTGGCAAACAGGAAATTCCATTGGGGCGCCTGGGTGGCTCTGTCAGTTGAGTGTCTCACTTTGGCTCAGGTCATGACCTCATGGTTTGAGAGTTCAAGGCCCACTTCGGGCTCCATGCTGACAGCTTGGAGCCTGGAGCCTGCTTCGGGTTCTGTGTCTCCCTCTCCCTCTGCCCTTCCCCTGCTCACACTCTCTCAAAAAAAAAAAAAAAACTAATAAATAAACATTAAAAAAAGAAAATTCCATTAAAATTGTATTAAAATCTTGAAAACAAAATAGGATGATTCGCTGGAATATTGTAAAACCATTGCCTTAAAAAAAACTCAATGTACTGCAGATGATTTTAATCACCCTTGGCTCCAAACTTGTATTGATTTTGTACCCAGCTGGAAACACCAACCAGCTCCCTCTGGAGACCATCGAAATTATTAATTTCCATTAAAAGGATTTATTGAGGTGAAATTCGCACAACAGGCAAGCTGCCCTTTTAAGTGAACAGGCGGAGGAGGGGGAGCCCACATGGTGCCCGCGTGCCTGGCTTGGCGGGTACGCTCCTCCCTTGCCCCTTGGCCCGGGGCTTTCTCCCGCCTTCTCCCACCCGCCCTGAGATGTTGGGGAAGGAACCTGATGAGGTTCAAAGGTCTGAAGGTCTGGAGAAGACCATAGCTGTCCCGCGTGTCCCGCTCCCACCTGGGCCCGACCCTCCCCCTCCTCCCCCCTCCCCCCTCCTTCCCCCTCTTCTGTTTCCCCGCTCCTTCCTTCTTGCCTCCTGTATCTCCTCCCCGGTGGCCCTTCCCACCTCTCCCCTTCTGTTCCATGGACTTCCACGCCCCACCCTTGTCTTGGGCTCCCTGCCATTCAATGCCCCGCCCACCAGAAGGTCTGGAGCCCCCCAGGGGCTCCCCCACTGCCCATCCACCCACTCCGCGCTTCCAGACTCCTCAGAGTTCCCCCTCCCCGGCACTCCCCGCCCCGTCCACGCTCCTCCAAGTCTCGGGGGCACCCCCCCAAGTGGCCCCTCTACTCCCCTTCCCATCCACCCCCCCCCGCCCCAGTCTCTCAGCACCCTTGCAGGTGCCTCTCCATTCCCCTTCCTCGTGCATTCCCCTCCCCCCGTGCCCCCACTACTCCTTCCCCTCCATCTGCCTCTGGGCCTCCCAGCGCCCCCTGCAGGTGCCGCTCCACGTTCCCGCCACGTGATTCCCCCCCCCCCTCTTACTCCCCCCAGCTGCCCCCCCCCCCCGCCTCGCCCTTCCCATCGCCCCGTCCCCGGGTCTCCCAGCGCCCCCTGCAGGTGCGGCCCCGCGCACCCTCCCGGTGCGCGGCGCTCCCGACAGACTCAGCGCCCTGTGCAGCCGCCCCTCGGCTCTCCACGTGCCCCTTGCAGGTGCCTCCCTGCTTCCGCTCCATATCCATCCGGGTCTCAGCTCCCCCTGAGGGTCCCCCTCCCCCGCCCCCTCCCCGGCTCCGCCCCGTGCACGCCGAGCCCCCCTTTCCCACCCAGCACCTGCGCACGGCTGCGCTGCCCTCGCGTCCCGGCGGCCTGCAGGCTGCACGCGGCTCGCTCGCGGCTCGAGGCAGGGGCCTCCCAGCGTCCAGACAGGGCGGACTTGGCGCCCAGGCCTCGCCTCGCGGGTGAGGGGCCGCCCCTGGGGCTAGACGCCAGCCCCCTCAGGAGCGTGGGCTGTGCCCGCGTGGGCGAGGGCGAGCGCGGGGGGGACCCAGGGGCGGGATGGGGGACGGACCGGGAGTGGGGGCGCCCCAAAGCCCCGCGGGTGTGGGTGCCCGGGACTGAAGCCTGCCCCCCCCCCCCCCGAGTGTAAGGGCGCTGGAGGCTCTGGGCCCAAAGCCCTTGTGGACGGAAGGTGCTCAGCCTGGAAGTGCCTCGTGGTGGACGCTTGCTCAGGCCCCACCCCGCCGTCCGGGCCGGTGCGTTTGCCGAAAGCCCGCTCGGGCCGAGCTTTCCAGGCCCAGCAGTGCGCGCTGGCCCAGACCCCGCCAGGGCCCCAGCCTTGCTAGGCCTGGAGAGTGCATTTGCCAAAAGCCAATTCAGGCCCAGACCCACTGGTTCTAGAATTTTCTGGACTAATACGTGCTTTAGCCTAAACCCTGTTTAGGCTCAGCCTCTTCTGGGTCTAGGCTGAATCAACTTAGTCCTGACTCCTAGGAGGCCAGGACCCTGTCATGCCTTTGATCACACCGCACTGTGCCCCACTGAGATGGCTCGCTTCTTTCTCACACAGGCCGCGCTGCAATGGCAGGGACTGAGATCTCTGTCCCTTCTGAGCAGTTTACTAAAATCAAAGAACTGGAGTTGATGCCAGAGAAAGCTCTGGAAGTGGTGGAGGACGATGGAGCGCACAGAGGGAGGGAGCACCCAGGTCCCAGAGACCTGATGGCCAGGTTCCCCTCCGGGGCCCTCCCTGCCAATGTGCGGGAGGGGGAGTGGGAGCCGGTGCTCAGCACGGAGGAGGGCAGCAAGCACATCGTGACCCGGCAGACGGTGCACCTTTCCTCCGAAGAGGTGCAGCTGCAGGACATTGGCTGCCTGACGGCGCAGCCCCAGGAAGGGGTGCAGGTGATGCTCCCGCAGGCCAGCGGTGGGCTGCAGTCCCTGCTGTGGCTTGACCAGGGGCCTCAGCAGTGCATGGGCATTAGCGTCCAAGAGGACGTGCACACTTTGCAAGAGATGGAGGTGACGCAGTCTCACATGCTGGAGGGCAGCGTGGCCGCGGCCGGTGGAGACAGCAAGTTTGTGGTAAACCTGGCTGAAAACACCGCGCTGATCAAGGTACGGCTGGTCTTAGTGAACAGACCCGGCTCCTAGAGGAAAAACTCTGACAGCTTTTCTTTTTTTAAAGTGGGTCTTGGTGCGGTGTTAGCTATGGTCAAGCAGTTTAAAAATGGCGCTTTAAAATTAAACACGGTAAAAATAATGTCCTGGGAAGATCTTGGGAGATCTCACGTTCTTTTTTCTTTTTTACTTATTTTTATAAATTGTTTCATGTTTATTTATTTTTGAAAGAGAGAGAGACAGAGTGGGAGTCGGGGAGGGACAGAGAGAGACGGAGACACAGAATCCAAAGCTGGCTCCAGGCTCTGAGCTGTCCACACAGAACCTGATCCGGCGCTTGAACTCACAAACCGTGAGATCATGACCTGAGCTGAAGTCGGGTCTGTCGCTCAACCGACTGAACCCCCCAGGTACCCTCTGCGTGTTCTTTCTTAAGAGCTTAAAAAGTTACACTGATTAGAACACTACAGGGTGCTGTGTGGTTGGTTGTTTTGTTTTTTTAAAAAACAGTGTGATGTTTCATTACCAAAGTGCTTGGTGCTTAGTAGTTATGGCTTAAGCATTTTGGTTGCAGCGGATAATCTTCCGTGCTTCTTTTGTTTTTTGTGTTTCTTTATCCATTCTGTGGTTTCGTCAAGGCAGTGAGTTTTATCGATTGTAATCAAGGTATAGTACTCTTTTGTGATTACTCATTTTTGTGTGAATACTCATTTTTGTTTATTAGATTAAGAAAGGCCAGGGGGAGGACCAGGCACCTGTGGAAGGAGGATTCGGTGGCCACACCGAGGATCAGTTCTTTCTTGTGGAAGCCAAGCCTGGCGACGGAGGAAGTGACGAAATTGTTCTGACAATTACACACTTAAATTTGGGAGAACCGGAAGACAGACCTGCCTCCACTCAAGGACCCGTTGAAAAAGCCAACTCTACAAAAAATCAGAATACAACGGGTAGGCGTCACCGGGGTCTGGGGCCTTCCTTTTGGGGAACGAGATGGTGGTTGAAATTGTATGTGGTTGACTTTTAGTTGGCTTTCGCAATATCAGGAAATGGGAGAAAATTAAAGCTCGTGGTACATATGAGGAATCAAATCCAAAAGAGTTTTGTGCCTTGGACACAGATGTTCTAAAAGCGTTGAGAAGATGCTCCTGCCATGTGCTGTGCACGAACAGGGAAGGGGCCCCTGATCTGCCCCTAGCTTGCAGCTGGATGGTGGGAGCGGGGGGTGGGGGGGGGGGAATGCACGGCTGATGGAGGTGAGGTCAGGAGCCTCGAGCCAGGAGAAGGGGTGATGTCCAGAAGGCAGCAGAGCGAGCACTTGATGTTAGGCGAGGCCGAGGAAGAGGAGCCGAACCCACTAAGACAGGATCACCATGTCAGGCAGTGGGAGGTGGCCCGTGGGGGTAGCTCCAGAAGGAGGTGGCTTCTTAGAGGGGACAGCTCCTGCGGAGTCCCACAGAGGGGGTGCTCAAAGAGGGTGACTCGGCCAGGTTAAGAAGGACCTTGAAGCCATCTTAGAGTTGTATTAAAACCGAGATTGCGTGGCAGCCGCCCACGGGGCAAAGTTGACCCTCAAAAATTACTCGCTGAGCTTTTTAGAAAATACTAGTGTCTCACTTAAACCGAGAGTTCATCCCCTCATTCCCCTCCCCCCTCAAATCTCAGTTTCTAGCTCATTTCTACAAAGTCATATCTGGCAACGCTCAGCTGCTTCCTCCCACCAACAGGTGGCCAGGGCTGGGAGGTGACTCCTTTTCAAAAGTCACACTGCTACCGCTGACTGTTCTTAACCTGTGGGTAAAATCAGTCATTGGGGTTTGTTGCCTCTGGCCTCAGCCGGCGGTTGAGTTTGCAATCTTCGACGTAATGCATTTACCCATAGGCAGCATTTCTCCTATATTTACATCCGGAGATTGTACTCCCCAGTTCCCAATTCCTAACTGGCTTTATTTTTAATGTTCACAATTTTGCACACCCCTCATCGCTAATCCCAGGCTATTTTCATCCCTAAAAGAAAAGTATTCCTACTTAGCAGTCATTTCTGCTACATTTCAGACATTTCTGCAGACATTTCACCTACGTGGACGCATGCATGTAAAATATGTGGCCTTCTGTGCGTGGCTGTCTTCACTGAGCCTAATGTTAGCAAGCTTTGCCCACGTTGTAGCATCTATCAGTGCTTTGTTCCTTCATTCCCGAGTCGTAGCGCGACATGGGCACAGCCTGTTTTGTTTACGCATCTATCCACCCATCGCCATTCAGGCTGTTTCAACATTTTAGCTGTTGTGGATCGTGCTGCTCTGAACATTCGCGCACAGGTGTTTGTTGGGATGCTAGGAACGGAATTGCTGGCTCCCCTGGTCGGTCTGTATTTCACTTTCTGAGGAGCTCACGCTTTCCCACAGCAGCTGCACCGATTGACATTCCCACCAGCAGCGTCGGAGGGTTCAGGGTCTCCTCTTCCTTGCTGATGCTTACTTCCCGTTTTAAAAAAATTACAGCCATCCTAGTGGCTATGAAGAGCGCTCTCATTGTGGTCTTGATTTGCATTTTCCTAATGCCGAATGATGTCGCATATATTTTGACATGCTTATTGGCCATGTGGATTCTTCTTTAGGGAAATGGCTATTGAAATCTTTTGTCTATTTTTTAATTGGTGCCTCGATTCGTTTCCTGGTCCCTGCCAAAACAAAATACCACAAACTGGGTGGTGTGAACAGTAGAAATGGATTCTCTCATGGTCCCGAAGGCTGGAAATCTGCGAGCAAGATCATGATGTTGGAAGGTTCTAGGAAAAAGCATGTTCTGTGCCTTTTTCTTAGCCTCTGGCCGTTGTCAGAATCATGACATTTTTTGGCTTATAGATATTTCATGGGTGTCCGTCTCTGTTGTCACATAAAACTCTTCCTGTGTGTCTGTCTCTGTGTGTGTGTGGTTTTTTTTTTTCTCTTCTCCTGAGGGTACCAGTCATACTGGGTTGGAACCCACACTCATCCATCATGATCATCTAAACTCGATGACATCTGCAAAGTCACAGTAACAGATATTTGCCGTTAGGATTTCAGTGTATCTTTTGGGGGAACGCAGCTCACCCCAGGAACCTTCTATTCCAAGTTTGTTGGGTGTTGTATCATGGAGGCTGTTGGGATTCGTAAAGTGCTTTTTTCTGAAGCTGTTGAGATGACCATGCTTTCCTTCCCCTTCCTTCTGTGAATATGGTGTGTTGCACTGATTGGTTTCCATACGCCCCACCTCCTTCCATTCCTGGGATAAATTCCACTTGGTCCTGGTGTGCAATCCTTTTAATAAGCTACCGGGTTCGGTTTATTCGTATGGCCTCATGGAAGTATCCTGCGTTTTTGTGCATGAACTTTGAAAAAGATTGATGTTAATTCTTTACACATCTGGTAGAATTCTCCAGTAAAGAGTTCTGGTCCTAGCGATTTCTTTGTGGGTAGACTTTTTGATGAATAACTCGTTCTCTTTATTTACTATAGGGCTATTCTGATTTTCTGTTTCTTCTGGAGACGGTTATGGTGGTTTGTGTGTTCCGAGAAATTTTCCATTTTCTCTTATAACCTCTCTCACTCTGTGCAGTTGGTAGTAATGTCTCCACTTCCTTCCTGATTTTGCTTATTTGACTTGTCTCTTTTGTTTCTCAGTTGCAAGTCTGGGTAAAGATTTGTAAATGGTGATCTTTTAAAAGAACCCAGTTTTGTTTCAGTCAGTTCTGTTGTTTTTCTGTTTTCAGTCTCATTTATCTCCACTCCAGTCTTCCTGATTTCCTTCCTTCTTTGAGCTAGAGTTTCTCTTATTTTTCTAGTTCCTCAAGATATAAAGTTTGAAATGCTTCTTCTTTGTAACTGTAGGTGGTTATAGCTAAAACTTTTCCTCTGAGCACTGCTTTTGCTATGTGCTATAAGCTTTGGTATGCTGTGTTTCACTTTCATTCAGCTCACAGCATTTCACAGCATCTTTGTGATGTCTTCTTTGACCCACTGGTCACCTGTGAGTGTGGTGTTTAATTTCTACCCATGTATATGCATTTCCCAAACTTCCTTCTGTTACTGACTGCTGCTTTCGTGTCATAACGGCCAGAGAACGTATGATTTCTATGTTCTTAAATTTATTGACACTTGTTTTGTGGCCTAACACGTGGCTTTTCCCGAAGAAGGTTCTGATGCACGTGAGGAGAATGTCCGTCATGCCAAACGTCTGTTTGATTGATGGTGTTAAGTCTTCTGTTTCCTAGCTGAGCCTCTGTCTGGTTGTCTTCCCCATTGTTGATAGTAGGGTGTTGAAGTCTCCAGCTGTTAATGAAGTGGCTCTCTCCACCTTCAGTTCTGTCAGTGTTTGCCTCTAGTATTTTGGGACTGTGTTATTGGGTGCATGTATATTTATAATTGTTCTATCTTTGTGATGGATTGAGTCTGTTATTGTTCTATAATATTCTTAGTTGTCTCTTGTAACAATATTTGTCTTAAGTCTGTTATGTCTATTACTAGAGCTGCCAGCTCTTCCGGTTACCGTTGGCATGGAATGTCTCCTGTTGGGTTACCATATTATGCTAAGAAAGAAAAAAAAGGATGTACCAAGTTATTCTGATGTGTTTCAGTGGAATTTCAACATCTAAAAAAAAGATTTCTACAAATACACGAACTCTGTATCTTCTTCCTGCAGAAGTAAAACAAACCTTCCGCTGTGATATCTGCATGTTCACCTCTTCTAGAATTTCGAGTTTTAATCGTCATATGAAAACTCACAGCACCGAAAAGCCCCATACGTGTCACCTGTGCCTGAAAGCTTTCCGCACGGTCACTCTTCTGCGGAATCACATCAACACCCACACAGGTAAACCCATGGACAAGGATTACTTCCCATTAAGGACGTGTGTTAAGGTTTATATACGAATGTGAATCCACCCATCTGCGCTTCAGAATAACATGTTTGTTTTGACCACTTTGGTTTTGTCTTCTTGGACTTTGCTTAAAAACATCAAATGTCACAAAGATTTTCTTTTCACACAAATCTGGGGTATTTATGATGTAAAGGACCTCTTCTTAGTCGTTAAAGCATTTGAAAACAGAGTCTAATTTATAGGTTCTATATTCCTAGGAAAATTTGTGGTTCAGTCTTATTTGAAAAGGCTAAACAATGTGATTTTACAGGAACCAGGCCCTACAAGTGTGGTGACTGTGTCATGGCATTTGTCACCAGTGGGGAACTTGTCCGACACAGACGTTATAAACACACTCACGAGAAACCCTTCAAATGTTCCATGTGCAAGTACGCCAGCGTGGAAGTAAGTCCACCCTCATGCTTAGAGCTCTGTGGCCTTCTAAGTTGACAAGGGGCACCTGGGGGGCTCAGACGGTTAAGTGTCCGGCTTTGGCTCAGGTCATGATCTCATGGTTTGTGAGTTCAAGCCCCGAGTCAGGCTCTGTGCTGACAGCTCAGAGCCTGGAGCCCCATTTGGATCCTCTGTCTCCCTCTCTCTCTGCCCCTCCCCTGTTTGCTCTCTCTCTCTCGCTCTCAAAAATAAACAAACATTAAAAAAAGAAATTTTTTAAAAGTTGGTACAAAATATAAGTTACACTAATAGAATCTCTTATAAAGTATGTTTTACTAAAGGTATTATTCATATAAAATCTATGCGGGAAATAATACTCGCGTTATTTTCTACATTTTAAAATAGAAAATTGGATTTTTTCTTTGGATCACCAATTGGTAAAAGCAACATGAAAGGCAAATGAATTACAAATAAAGTTACTTCTCCTTGGGAAATAATTCCCAAGTGTGTTGAGTTCTATCTGGTGTTCTGTGGAGTGTACGCAGTTCTCCAAAATCAAAATGCATTTGCTCTAACATAGAACACAGATCACAGTGTGAGTTTTTGCTGAAATTTTGGACATGGGGCACCTGCTCAGATACGAACCAACTTGTTTGAGCATTCGGACGTGGCCCATTTCGTCTCTTAATTTACAGAGAGATCACCTCTCTCAGACTTCAGATTTTCGGCAATGTGTCGTGGTCACTTAAACTCTGTTGTTGTGCTTATACCTTCCGGCAGTCTTAGCCACGCTCTGAATGAAACGACAGCGGAATGCGATGCTTCCTTTCCAACGTCACGTCTCTACTAACGTTTAAGGACTCGGCTGTCTGTTAGGAGGTCTGCCGGGTCCTGAGTCTGAGCCCAGTTGGGAAGGGATCACACGCTCGAATGGAACAGAGTGAAAGGAGGAGGGCGCAAGTTTAAATACAGTAGTGGTGCAACCGTGTTTCGTAAACTAGGAAAGTTTACAGGCAGGGTCAGGATTTGGTTCCAAGAATTTTTCCCCACTATTACTATTTTTAAAAATTATTTGTCATCGGAGTTAAAGGTGGTGGCCGCCTGTGGAAACCCAGAGAGGAAGGTCCAGAACTCGAAGCCGCGCTCGAGACTCCGACACCCAGAGTGGCCCTGCCATTGGCGCCTTGCTGGTTTTCCGCGCAAGCTCGTGCGTCGGCAGAGACCCTGCTCGGGGTGGCGGGGGGCCGTCCGCGTGCAGCTCGAGGTCTGGTCGACATAGGGGTCCCCAACCACTGCCACCACCCCTTCTGTCCAGTGTCTGAGCCTTGCCCTGCTGCGCGGTTCTAAGTGGCTGGCTGCCTGCGCTGTCCCTTGACGCGTGGCCGGCAGGAAGGTCCACGGACAGGTCACAGCGCTCCTGAGGCCACGTCAGCACACCTCGTCCCTTCCTGCAGCCCCAGGGGGACCGTCGCTGCCTCTCGACGCTCCCCAAACCTTTTCTGCTATAGTGGCTAAAACTTCCTGTGTGTGTGTGTGTTTTTAATGTTTTATTTATTTTTGAGAGAGAGAGACAGGGTGAGCAGGGGAGGGTCGGAGAGAGAGGGAGTCACAGAATCCGAAGCAGGCTCCAGGCTCCGAGCTGTCAGCACAGAGCCCGACGCGGGGCTCGAACTCATGAACCCATGAGGTCGTGGCCTGACCCACAGTCGAACGCTTACCCGACTGAACCCCCCGGGCGCCCCGAGGCTCTACTGCTGAGAAGTTGGGCCCCACCCGCCTTCCCGGTGTTTCGCAGGCGAGCAAGCTGAAGCGGCACATCCGCTCGCACACGGGGGAGCGGCCCTTCCGGTGCAGCCTGTGCAGCTACGCCAGCAAAGACACGTACAAGCTGAAGCGGCACATGAGGACTCACTCAGGTAGGGCGGGGCCCGCGGGTGGCCGGGCGGGTGGCGCGGGGTCGGTCCGTGTCTCCAGGGAGCCCGTCTGCAGTGCTCCCCGCGGCCCGGCCAGAGCTCCGGCGGCAGCGTGAGTGTTCGTGCTTCTCTGACGCGGGGATCTGGATCTGCGCCTTTGCGTTGGTCTGGCTTTGTCGGGGATCTCAAAGTCACCCGCTTCACTGACCCCTCAGGGTTCTTTTTTTTAAAGTTTGTTAGAGAGAGCAAGCAGGGGAGGGGCAGAGAGAAAGGGAGAGTCCCAAGCAGGCTCCACACTGCCAGTGCAGAGCCCGACGCGGGGCTCGAACCCATGGACCGTGAGGTCATAACCTGAGCCAAAGCCAAGAGTCAGATGCTCAACCAACCGAGCCACCCAGGTGCCCCTCACCTTTCAGGGGTTTTTTGTCGTTAATTTTTTTTTTAAATGTTTTATTTATTTTTGAGAGAGAGATAGAGACAGAATGAGCAGGGGAGGGTCAGAAAGAGAGGAGTCACAGGATCTGAAGACAGGCTCCAGGCTCTGAACTAGCTGTCAGCACAGAGCCTGACGTGGGGTTCGAACCCACAAACTGTGAGATCATGACCTGAGCCGAAGTCGGACGCTTAACCGACTGAGCCACCCAGGCGCCCCTGTTTTTAATTTTTTTTTAACATTTATTTGTTTTTGAGAGAGAGAGAGAGGGACACAGGACTCATAGCAGGCTCCAGACTCTGAGCTGTCAGCACAGAGTCCAATGCGGGGCTTGAACTCATAAACCGCGACATCATGACCTGAGCTGAAGTCGAACGCTTAACTGACTGAGCCACCCAGGAGCCCCAGTGACCCCTCAGTTTTAAGGCAAAATGTAAAGTGTGCTGGTTTGATACCGCAGTTCCTTTGTTTTTCATTTATCTGTAATTGACCTGTAGCTGACATACGTGCTACCGTGAGCTGCCCGGCACGGTGACTCTGGTTCATACCTCGTGCGACACAGTCGCCTCTTGCCGCCGTGCACCGCGACACCGTACAGCGCACACGATCTTACGCCCACGTTCCCTGTGCTGTGCCGGCCGTCCTGCCACTTACTGTATTTTATAACTGGAGGGTTGTACATCTTCACCCCCGTCACCTGTCGGCCTGTCCCTCGGCGCCCCCCCCCCGTCCTGTGGAAACGACTCGTTCTCTGTATTTATGAGTCTGTTTCTGCTCATTTTGTTCTAGAAATCCCACATGTAAGTGAAAACACGGGCATTTGTCTTTTTCTGCCGCACTCTCTCACTTACAGTAACACTCCTAGGTCCATCTGTGTTGTTGGAAACGGCAAGATTTCGTTCTTATGACTGAACAGTATTCTGCTGTGTACATACCGCGTCTACTGTAGCCGTCCGTTACTCGGACGCTCAGGTGCTTCCGTATCTCAGTTCTCGTAAAGGGTGCCGCGGTAAACATACGGGCACACGTACTTTTTCCAATTACTGTTCGTTCTCTCCACACAAGTCCCCAGCAGTGGCTTTGGTGGATTATACGGCATCTCTAGCACTCACTTAGTGGGTGGTTTTGTACGAAGGTTGTGTTTACATGTGCGTCTCAGTCCAAATGCCAGGGCAGGAACCGGACAGCTGAGTGACGGCTTAGAGCCGCTGAGCCGGGCCCCCGTCCACACAGCTCTGCTTGGCCTGATGTTGTCCAGCCTTGATTTAGGGACCTGCCACCAGCTCTGGGGCTGAACGTGTGCGGGAAGGGAGGCAAAAGGGGCCTCAGGCTCAGCAGATACGCGTCGTGCTCCCGTGACCTCTGGGGAGGATCAGGGCTCATTGGGCAAAGCCACCGTGCAGAGGGTCACTTTTGTCCTCCGTGTCACAGGCGAGAAGCCCTACGAATGCCACGTGTGCCACACACGCTTCACGCAGAGCGGCACCATGAAGATACACATGCTGCAGAAGCACAGCAAGAACGTCCCCAAATACCAGTGCCCGCACTGTGCCACCGTCATCGCAAGGAAGAGCGACCTGCGTGAGTGTCCGGCTTAACGGACTTCCTTTAATTACGGTATTTGCAGGTGCGCTGGAGGTACGTCCTGGGAACCCACGGAGCCCCGGCTGGCTGGTGACCTGGGGGGAGCTGGTCCGCGGGACCTGCGACAGAAGAGGGTTTTTTTCTAGCGGTCCTGTGGTGCCATCTAGTGGCGATATTGCAGAAGTGCAGTCTCCTAGCTTGGCTCTCAGTCCTGGCCCGGGGTGCGTTCTGTCCCAGGTACACCTGATAAGCAGTGACAGGTATTTGAGCTCCTAAAGCACTTTCACAGATGTTGTTTTATCCCATACGAGGCCTCTTTTCACAGATGAAGCACATGATGAAGGCGTTTCGAGACGTAGAGTGATCTGCCCCCAAGTCCCCTAAGCTAAGAGGCCCCGGGAGGTGGCCTGACACAGGTTCTGCTGTATTAACGTCCTCACGAGTGATACCCTGCAGACTTTTCGTAGCTCTTGCTGTAATCCTAGAAAGTTCTGGTAGCCGAGGTGACAAAAGTAAGGACCAAAACAGCCCTCTTCCTAAGGAACTCACTTCAGTAAGAGAGTCTTTTACTGTGATGTGGTTACGCCCTCTTCCTGGCACGAAACGCCACAGAGAAAGAACAGAACTCGCCACGAGCGACTCTGAATGCCAGAGTTAGGACTCGGCTTCACCCTGGGGTGAGTCAGGGCGTAGGGAGCAGTGGGTCGTGGTGGCCGCAGCCGTGAGCGGATGAGCCTCTCTCCTTTGCTTTGGGGTCTCTGGGCTCCCCGGCTCCCGTGATCTTGTTTTTCTTTCTAAAGTATGTAACACTGTGACACTCAAAACATGCTAGCAGATGTACAAGTCACCAGTTTGCCCGAGAAAACCTGGAGATGAGGCGCACAGTTGGGAAAACATTTTTGAAAGGGTGAGAGTGTTTAATGAAGCCTTAACTTTTAAAAGTCTAGAGGATTCTGTCAATGTTACTGTAGTCACCGGCACGCCACAAAACATGGCCCTGTGGCACTAGGGTCACAAGCCTGTTGCCAAGAAAGGAAACAAGACTTTCACAACTTAACAAAGTGATGTAGGTTGCGTCTCCTCTCAGCAGGTGGCCCATTGAGGGAGCTTTGTGAACAAGTGAAGTCTCCCTTCCTGCCGCTGTAGGAGAAACCAGACTCTCAAGTGCCTGAGTCAGCACGACTGGGCTGTAACCCACCCCCACAGCTGTTCATTTGTGTTTGGCCTTTTACACGAAGGATCACGAGTCACCGTGCTTTATTTTTCTTTTAATTTTTTAAATGTTTATTGTTTATTTTTTAGAGAGAGGGAGACAGAATATGAGCAGGGAAGGGGCAGAGAGAGAGAGGGAGACACAGAATCTGAAGCAGGCTCCAGGCTCTGAGCTGTCAGCACAGAGCCCCATGCGGGGTTCGAACCCATGAACCGTGAGATCATGACCTGGGCCAAAGTCAGACGCTCAACCGCCTGAGCCCCCACCAGGTGCCCCAGAAACCCCATGCTTTCGACTCCGTTCCGCAGAAATCATTCCAGAGGGTGTCCAATCAGACCTTACCGCGAGTCCTGCGTCAGTTATGACGGAGGGAAACAACAGGGCGCTGACTCTAACACGACATCTGGCCTTTTTTTTAGCTACAGTACAGAGGTTCTGTCCTTGTTACATAAAACCACCTTAAGGTTATCCTGAAAACCCGCCCACGCCACGATAGGGTTCTCAAGGCGCGTTGTTAAGCAAACACGATAGGTCTGCCTACATGGCGTTGAGCTCTGTCTGCCTTGAGAGTGTCCTTGACTTGTGAGCCGTGGCTCCTTCTGAGCAGCCACACAGCACCCAGCAGGGGGCGCTTTCACTCCCCGAGAGACTCTTGGCAACGTCTGTTGGCATTTCGGTTGTCACAGCTGGGGAGGAAGGGCGTCTTGACTGGTATCCGCGGGGTGGAGGCCAGAGGTGCTCATAAATATTCTCAGTGTCCAGGACGCACCCACCCCCACCCCACCAAGAAGAAAGCAGCTCCCTAGTGCTGCGATCGAGGGGCCCTGACCAGAGGGGAGGGAGAGCGGCCGGCAGGGGACACTGCTCCGCGACCCAGCACTCTGTAACCACCCTAGGCGTCCATCTGCACAAGCAGCACTCGTACAGAGCCGCGGAGATGAAGTGCCGCTACTGCACCGCCGTCTTCCATGAGCGCTACGCCCTCGTGCAGCACCAGAAGGGTCATAAAAACGAGAAAAGGTTCAAGTGTGAATACTGCCCGTATGCCTGCAAGCAGGTACTCCGGTTTCTCCAGTCTGGGGCGGGGTGGGAGGCGGAGGCGGACAGGAGGAGGGAGGGTCGGGTTCCCTCTCGCTCTAAAAATCTTGGGGGAAAAAGATCATGAGTTAGTGAAAGAGCCTGTTCAGAATACAGAAAGCAGCCAGGAGCCCATATGTTAAAGCGACGCTTCTTACAAGTGTGGCTTACAGACCCCTGGAGGTCCCTGAAGCCAGTGGGGCCGTTAACATCAAAATTCTTGTCGTTAGGTAGTTCATTGATGCCAATACATCGTTTGCCCTTTCCACTATGTTGACATTGGCCACGAAGGTGCCACAGCAGCAGAGGTGACTGAGCACACACGGAGCAGTGACACCTGCAGATCTAGTCTGCTGTGTCTTCACCTCCACGCACGGCAGCAAAAGTAAAGGGCAGTTTTACTTAAGAATGTTCTTGATGAAGCAGTAGCAGTTCTCAACTTCATTCAGTCTTGACCCAGGATGCTTCTCTTTTTTTGTTGATGTTTATTTATTTTTGAGAGACAGAGAGAGACTGATATGAGCGAGGGAGGGGCAGAGAGAGAGAGGGAGACACAGAATCCGAAGCAGGATCCAGGCTCCGTGCTGTCAGCACAGAGCCCGATGCAAGACTTGAACTCCCGAACCGGGAGATCATGACCTGAGCTGAAGTCGGACGCTTAACCGACTGAGCCCCCAGACGCCCTTAGTGACTCATCTTTGAATGACAGAGCGCCAGGGCTGTCCCGAAGCACAGCACCTGTCTACAGGGAGGCACCTGTCTGCAGGGAGACACCTGCGGCATTGTGCGAGTTGCCAGCCCAACTAGCCACTTGTTTCGTGAGCCACCGTTTTCACCTGTAAGAATGAGGGGCAGGAGGAACAGGCAGACTCCACTGCTTCCGTTATTGGACGTTTGGCAACACGCAGTGCCTTTTCCTTGAAAGTAAATGAAGTGAGTCCATCACTTCAAGGAAAATGTGTTGCCAGAGATACAATTTCAGCTGTCAGGAGAAATTACAATTAGAAATCTATACATCGACCTTCGTGAGCTTGACAAGCTTTCTGACACTTGAAGACTCCTCTAATGAGATGGGAGTGATTTAAGAAAGCTTTTTTTTTTACGTGGCATAGTGAAGTGTGTCAACATTTAGAAGCTCTCCATAACTCAGTTAACTGATATTTTTCCAAATGACCAGTCAGACCATTATCTTAGAAAATCATGCATCAGTAAAAGATTCACTCAAAATAGAAGATCGACGGACCGTCATGTCACTAAAAGGACCGTCTTCCCCACACGCCTTTCCATTTACGCTCCCTCCCAGGACAGTGTCACTCAGTCCCATTTTGAAAGTCAAGGTCCTACCGAGGCCCTGCTGTCCTGGAAGGGAGGTGGGGGCACAGCGTGTGGGAAGAGAGCGTCCCCAAGAGAAAGCCTCGTAGAAATACAGCTCGGTTATGAACAGTAATATAAAAGTGGGCCTATGTTTTCTCTGCAAGATCATAGCATTTTAGATAAAAGGAGTAAAATAGGCATTTTTGCCTGACTTTATATTTTTTTTGTCATACTTCTCCAAGTTTTTTTTTTAAGTTTATTTATTTGTTCTGAGAGAAAGAGAGAACAGGGGAGGGTCAGAGAGAGAGGAAGAGGGAATCCCAAGCAGGCTCTGCACAGTCAGCGCAGAGCCCGATGCAGGCCTCAAATTCATGAACCGTGTCCTTATGGCCAAAACCAAGAGTCAGATCCTTAACTGACTGAGCCACCCAGGCACCCCGGCTTCTCCAGATTATTTACTTGCATAAATCTTAGTTAAAATTCCTAATTATTCCTTTGGTAAGAACAGTTATTATGAGCTTTATGCTCTTAAGTAGATATTAAAGTTTGTCTCAATATTTATCAGAAAGTTAAGAGGTTTCATGTACTTCGAATCCCAAATAGCCGTGGAATTGAAACTCTGACGTTAGATTTTAAGTTTGCAGGTTCCTTCTGCCCTTTGTAGACTCAGGTCATTGCAGATAGTTCTAGAACTAGGGCTGCTAATTAATCCATGAGGTCTCTTGGTGGGACAAATGATTATCGCTTCCCTCCCCACGGAATGTTCTGCCGCATTCCCCAAGGGACCCGCTGGGCGCTCAGCGGTGGCCCGACGGCAGGGACGGTGGACATGCTTGTCTCCTACGTAGCCAGACCATGCTGCTGTCCTCAGTAGCATCACGTTGACAATCTGTGCACCATCATTTTTCTTAACCACGCAGTCATCCTGGGGAGGGGGAAGAGGTGGATAAGACGTAACGTCAAGGACTAAAAACACCCCTGTAGGTATTAAACCGCTTATTTCCCTCCCTTTCGCTCCTAGGGGCGTCACATGACCGTTCACATACGCACCCACACCGGAGAGAAGCCATTTACCTGCACCTCGTGCAGTAAATGTTTCCGACAGAAGGAACTTCTGAATATGCACTTCAGGAAATACCACGACGCCAGCTTCATCCCGACTGTTTACAAGTGCCCCACATGCGGCAAAAGCTTCTCCCGCTGGGTAAGCTTGCATAACTCACGGTAAATCTTCCTTCTTGCAAAGATCCCTCGATTTCACAGCCCCTGACGCACTCAGGGAGTTTAAACCCAATTATAGAAACGTGCCAGGGCTTCAGACGGCACCTGCCTGGCCTTGGGGAAGCCGTGATTCGTTTCTTTGGAGTCACAAAGCTCCTGCAAATCGTATGAAAGTGCGGTCTCCCCTTTCTATGAAAAAAGACAGTTCTGCAGACAAAACCTTGCAAATAGTTTTAGGGAATTCTCATGCTCCCTAGAATCCGCAAGAGCCCCTGATCCTCAGTGTAACATTTTAACATCGTTCCTGTGAATCAGATCTGGGCTGCTTCCCAGAGAGACGCAATTTTCAGAATGCCTCAGGGATGCTCTTCGAATGGTACTGTTGGTACCCGGCTAAGAAATATGTTTACTCTCCCATGTTACTCTCTTCAGGGGCTCCGTCGGTTATCTGTTGCCATATAAGAAGTGGTTTCAAAACTTAGTGGCGTAAAATACCATTTATTTCCTCGCGCTTTCAGTGGGTCAGGAATTTGGGAGGGGTGCGGCTGGGTGGGTTCGGTTCATCGTCTCTCAGGAGGTCACGGTCAGGATGTCCACTCCCAAGATGGCGCCCTGACATGGCTGTTGGCAACGGTCTGCAGCTCCTCACCACGTGAACCATTCTGCTGAGCTGCCCAAGTGTCCTCACGACCCAGAGCAAGTGAGAGACAGCAAGGGGGAGGCCACTGTGCCTTTTGTCACCTAGTTTTTGTTTATTTCTTAATGTTTTATTTATTTTTGAGAGAGAGAGAGAGTGTGTGTGAGCAGGGGAGGGTCAGAGAGAGAGGGAGACACAGAATCTGAAGCAGCTCCAGGCTCTGAGCTGTCAGCACAGAACCCGACGCGGGGCTTGAACCCACGAACCGCGAGATCATGACCTGAGCCAAAGTCAAACACTCAACCGACTGAGCCCCCCAGGCGCCTCTGTTCCCTAGTTTTAAAAGTGACCCATTACTTCTGTTCATTAGAAGTGAATCACTAGGGGGGCTCCTGGGTGGCTTAGTCGGTTAAGCGTCCGACTTTCGCTTAGGTCATGATCTCGCGGTTCGTGGGTTCGAGCCCCGCGTCGGGCTCTGTGCTGACTGCCAGCTCAGAGCCTGGAGCCTGTTTCAGTCTGTGACTCCCTCTCTCTCTGACCCTCCCCTGCTCACGCTGTCTCTCTCTCTCCTAGAAATAAATAAAACACTTAAAAAAAAAAAAAAAAAGAAGTGAATCACTAGGGGCACCTGGGTGGCTCAGTCGGTGAAGCATCCGACTTTGGCTCAGGTCACGATCTCGCAGTTCATGAGTTCGGGCCCCCCAGTGGGCTCTGTGCTGATGGTGTGGAGCCTGATTGAGGTTTTCTCTCTCCCTCTGTTTCTGCCCCTCCCCCGCTTGTGCTTTCTCTCTCTCTCCCTCTCTCTCTCTCTTTTTCTCTCTGTCTCTCAAAGAAATAACATTAAAAACTTTAAAAAAGAAAGAAATCACTAGGTCCAGCCCACACCCAAGAGGTGGAGTGGGGGTGGGTAGAATTCCTTTAGAAAGAAAGAGTCAAAGAATTCGTGGACATTGAAAAAACACCACAGACAATGAGCAGATCTCTAGACAATGCGCACTCCAGGCTGGCTCTGAAAGTTCTGGATTATCTGAAGTGACTGTTTCTATGGGGAAAAGCTTTGTCTTTTCTCTTTGTGTTTTTCTGGGCCATGTAGCGGGGTACTTCCGGAATGTTAATGTAACTCTTAGTTCAGAATCTCAAATACAAGTTGTGACAATAGTCCAAAAACAGCGTTCATACAGAGTTAGCATTCTCAAAAGTCAGCACTGGAAAGAGTCAGCCCTTTGGTGTGAAGAACAAGAAAACAGAGAAGAGAATGAGTCACCTCCCAGAATTCCTCAGAGCAACCAGTCAGAAGTTCTGAAAGTTTTTCCTGCATTCAAGAGAGCACATGGGTCTTGCATCTAGAACACAGACGTACCTCGGAGATGCTGCAGAACCAGTTCCACAGTAAAGCAAACGTCACAAAAAAGTGAGTCAAAAGAATGCTTTGCTTTCCTGGGGGATATGAAGGTATGTTTATGCTATTCTGTAGTCTAGTAAGTGTCTAGTAACAATGTGCCTAAAAAGCGCAGATATCTTAATTTAAAAATACTTTACTGCTAAAAAATGCTACCCACTTAGCTTTCAGCAGATTGTGGTCGCTGGTCACTGATCACCGTGACAAATATACTAACAGAAAAAGTTTGAAATATTTTAAGAATTACCAAAGTGCGACACCGAAACGCAGCGTGAGCTTTTTGGAAAAATGGCATCGATAGACTTGCTCAATGCAAGATTGCCACAAACCTTTAATTTGTAAAACATGCAGCATCTACCAAGTGGAGTAAGACCCGATGCATACAATGAGGCGTGCCTGTGTATGAAACCTCTAACAACTTAATAAGAAAAGGGCAAATCCCCAGTGAAAAATGGGCAAAGGATCTAAATAGACATCTCTTCAAACAAGATACACAAACGACCTAGAAGCACGTGAAAAGACGCATCATTAGCTGCTAGGGAAATGCGAATCCGGACCACAGTGAGGATGCCGAGGAAGGTCATGAGGAAGGCTGCAGTCAAAGAAGACAGATAATCATCGATGTGGAAAGCCGGAGCCCTCCTCCGTTGCGCTGAGATTTGGAATTTGGGTGAAGCTGCCTTAGAAGATAGTCTGGCAGTTTTTCAAACAGTCAAAACATAGTGCCACCCCTAGGCGTATACTCAAAAGAACTGAAAACACAAGACCACACAAAAATTGTACACAAATATTCATAACAACCCCCAAACGTGGAAACTACCCGAATGGCCATCAAGTGGTGAGTGGATAAAGCATTTTATATCCGTACAATGGAATATTGCTCTGTCATTAAAAGGAATGACGTACACATATATCGTGCTACATGTGGGTGAACCTGGAAAGAAGCCAGACCCAGAAGATTACGTATTAGAGGATTCGATTTCTATGAAATGTCCAGAATATAAAAGTTCATAGAGACAGAAGGTAGCTTGGTGATGGCCAGAGACTGTGGGGGTGATGGCCAGAGACTGTGGGGGTGGAGAGCACGGAGAGTGACTCCTGACAGTATAGATTTCTTTTCGAAATGTTCTCAGATTGATTGTGGTGATGGTTTTACAACTCTACGAATAGACTAAAAACCACCGAACTGTACAATTTCTTTTTTTTAAGTTTTTTTTTTTTATATTTTAAGAAAGAGAGCGTGCATGAGCAGGGGAGGGGCAGAGAGAGGGGGAGAGAGAATTCCAAGCAGGCTCCATGCTGTCAGTGCAGAGCCCAACATGGGGCTCAGTCCCATGAACCGTGAGATCATGACCTGAGCCCAAACCAAGAGTTGGATGCTCAACCGACTGAGCCACCCAGGCTCCCCATTATACAATTTAAATGGATGAATTGGTATATGAATTATATCTCAATAGAGATGTTTCAAAAATAAAATTTCCCAATTATGGCTCCACTTGGAAGTTGCCACTTTGTCCTAAGAAGTAAAAACCTGAGTAAATTGGAAAACCAGCTCTTCCAGCATCTGCAGGGGAGCAGCGACACGGGACAAGTCTCGGCCTCAGGATGGGAGATCAGCAAACACAGAGACACCCCTGCAGCCTCCACAGGAACTAGCTCCAGGAGCAGGGACGGGGTGGGAAAATCGGACCGGTGATGGAGGACTTGCTGGAGGCTCAGGTGGACAAGCCAAGATTAAAAGCTACACATCCAGTCCTAGAGGCCCCCACAGTGCTGTGCATTTTGCCACCGGAAGCTCAACCAGATCTGAAAAGAAGTCCCCTTCTGCTTCCTTCCAGCAGGGGAGGCGCAAGGAACCATCCTGAAATACCCCAGAGCACTCTGTTCTCCTTCACAAAGTCTCCCCCGGGGAAAACCAGTTCACCAGAGCCTAACCCACTGGGGTGGCATCAGAGCCTCACTGACCTGGTGGAAGGGAAACCCCAACTCCAAGGGAAACCCCAAGAGCCATCCTGTCCCACCTGAGGTGGAGAAGAAAACTAAAAATCACTTGTGAGGGTCACAGCCCAGAGGCACGGCTCCCTGAAACACAGAGACCCCCATCACAGGCTACAGAACACGCCCCCCCAAGCCTCACCCCCATGCTACTGAAGCCCAATTTAAGGCGGTTCGTTCCACCCAGGGCATCGTGTCCAGCTATCAGGAAGATCTCACCAGGCATACCAAAAGGCAAAAATCACAATTTGAAGAGACAGAACTGCAAAACCAGGCACGGCAGGGATGTGGGAATGGTCAGATCAGGAATTAAAAACCACCTTGATTAATAACATGCTGAGGGATAAAGTAGACGGTTCACAAGAACAGACGAGCAACGGGAGCAGGGATGGAAATCCTAAGGGGAAAAAAAACCCAGAAATGCTCTAATGGAAATGAAAAGTGCTCTGATGAGTGAAATCGAGGAAAATTTGAATAAAGGGAGAAATAGCCCATGTTCATGGATAAGAAAACAGTAATGTCAAGATGTCATTTCTTCACAGCTTGATCTATAGATTCATTGCAATTCCTGTCCACATCTCAGCACGTCATTTCGTCAATAATGACAGTGACTTTGGAGCTGATGTGGAGAAGCAAAGAACCCAGAATAGCCAACACAGTATTGAAGGGAGAGAACGAAGTTTGAGGACTGACTTCACCCGCCTTCAAGACTCGCTATAAAGCCAGAGGAGTCACAGCAGCGCATGTTAGTGAAGAACAGTCACACATGACAGAGCAGAGAGCCCAGCAGACCCCACACGTTCAGTCCGCTGATCTCTGACAAAGGGGCAGAGGCGATGCAATGGAGAAAACACCACCTTTTCAGCCAGTGTGCTAGAGGAACTCGAATCCACATGGAAAAAAATCCTAGACCGAGACCTTATGCCTTTCACAAAAATTAATTCAAAATGCTACAGGCCAGCAGGGCTCCAGGGCAGCTTAGTCAGTTAAGCATCCAACTCTTGATTTTGGCTCAGGTCGTGGTCTCATGGTTCGTGAGTTCGAGCCCCGTGTCGGGCTCTGTACTGTCACCGTGGAGCCTGCTTGGGATTGTCTCTCTCTCCCCCACCTCAAAATAAATTAACATAAGAGAAAATCTAGATGACCCTGGATATGGTGGTGACTTTTCAGAGACAATACCAAAGGCACCCTCCATGACAGAAATCATGGAGAAGCTGGCCTTCACTAAAATGAACAATTTCTGATCAGAGAAGACAAGCCACAGACAGGGTGAAAATATATGCAAACGTCACCTCTGGTGAAGGACTGTCATCTGGAACACACAAAGAGCTCTTACAAGTGAACCCTTGTTAACAAACAGGCTGAGGGCGTTGCCACGGATCCCTCACCCGAGAGGATGCTGAGGTGCCAGATTCCCATTGGGGAAATGGATGTTAGAACAAGATGCCCCCACACAGCTTTCAAAATGGCCCAGACCCGGAACCCTGACGACACCAGATGCCGGGAGGGTGTGGAGTTGCTGGCGGGAATGCGACATGGCGCAACCTCTTTGGAAGAGTTTGGTGGTTTCTTACAAAGCTAAACGTACTCTTACCCTACAGCCCAGCACTCACACTCCTTCTAGTCACCCAGAGTAGAAAACTTACATTCACACAAAACCCCACACACGGATGTTTAGAGCAGCTGTATTCTGAACTGGCAAAACTTGGAAGCAGCCAAGACATCCTCTGGCGGGTGATGGATGAATAAACTGTGGTCCATCCAGACGATGGAATACCTTCCCGGGGTAAAAACAAATGAGTTATCAAGCCAGGAAGACGGGGAAGAACCTTGAGTACATATTCCTAAGTGAACGAAGCCAGTCTGGAAAGGGTACACGCTGTATGATTCCAACGATACAATGTTCTGGAAAAGGCAAAACTATGGAGACCGTAAACAGATTGGTGGTTTCCAGGCGTTGGGGAGGAGGGAGGAACAGATGGAGCACGGAGGATTTTCAGGGCAGTGAAACTAGTGTGTGTGATACTAGAATGGTAGATATTTAACGATTATACATTTGTCCAAATGCACAGAACAAACAACTCCAAGAATGAGCCCTCCCGTAAACTGTGGACTTTGAGGGATTATGACATGTCCGTGGAGGTACCTCAGTCGTAACAAATGCACCCCCGTTCTGATGGGGATGCTGATAATGGGGGTGAGGCTGGGCGTGTGGGGGCAGGGATGTAAGGGAAATCTCTAACCTCCCTCCCACATGTGCGATGAACCTAAATCTGCTTTAAAATACGAAGTCTTTAAAAATAAATACTTGCATGTCTGGGTATGGGGATCCAGTTTAATTTTTAGAAAGTAAATCATCCACAAACTTCCCTTCTTTAACACACCTGAATGTCACAGGGCCGGGCGCCCTGCCTCCCCGGTAAGGACTCCACCCCCACCCTGCATCCCAAATGCTGCCTCCCCCCTCTCTTGAGAAACATTCCTCTGACACAGAAGTCTGTCATCTCACTCTTCCCTGAGTCCTAAATAATCTAATGTTGTATCAGTTTCCTTAAAATCTTAGCCCACTTACTTTTTTTTTAATATATATATTTTTTTATTTATTTCTAGGAGAGAGAGAGAGAGAGAGACAGGGTGAGCAGGGGAGGGTCAGAGAGAGAGGGAGTCACAGACTGAAACAGGCTCCAGGCTCTGAGCTGGCAGTCAGCACAGAGCCCGACACAGGGCTCGAACCCATGAACCGTGAGATCATGCCCTAAGTGAAAGTCGGACGCTTAACCGACTAAGCCACCCAGGCGCCCCTAGCCCACTTACTTTTTAAAGGCTAGATGTGTTTTTGCTTATTAATCCGAAACCGACGTCTGGAGTCGTTAGCCATGAGCTTCATGAATTTGGAAGAAGGATGTGTGTGTGTGTGTGTGTGTGTGTGTGTGTGTGTGTGTGTGTGTGTGCGCGCGTGCGCCCTTGTGCATGTGCTTTGCTGGGGAAGGGGCCATTCCTCTCATCATATTCTCAAAAGAATCCTTGGCCCCAGAAGGCTTAGTTTGTGCATAATCATCATATAAACCCGGGGACTGGCAAACATTCTGCGTGGGGCCGGTGGTAGTATTCTCAGCCTCGCAGACCGTCTTCTGGCCCAACTACTCCAGTCTGTGGAGCACAAGCAGCTATAGACTGACAATCCATAGATGAAGAGACATGGAAGTCTTCCGGAAAACTTGCTTTACGAAAACAGTTGGCTAGCGGATTTGACCCTTGGGCTGTTGTTTTCCCACCCAGAATGGAACGAGTTCAAGTAACCTGTAACATCTCCTTTGTCCTTACACGCGAGTCCTTCCCCTTCTGCCCATAAGGACAGCCGAGGGGGGCAGCACGCTGAAGCCGACGTGGAAGTTGGTGGGGGAAGGTTTTAGATAATCAGAAAATGGAATGACACGTCGGCAGTACCTTCCTTTAGCACAACAGGGAAACCCAACGGGGAAAACTTTCTAACTTAATTTAAACGGTCCAGAGTGTTCGTATGTAAGAATACTTTGGTTAACGGTCTTGACCAAGAAATCTCTGACTTCTCTTTTAATTCTGAGTGTTGTATACACATTCACTTACCCCTTGCGCGGGGCATCTGAGTGACTCGGTCTGACTGTTTGATTCTTGATGTCCGCTCAGGTCATGATCTCACACTTTGAGAGATCGAGCCCCAAGTCGGGCTCTGTGCTCACAGCACAGAGCCAGCTTGGGATTCTCTCTCCCCCGCTCTCCCCTCCTCACTGGCTTGTGCACTGTCTCTTTTTCAAAATAAATAAATATTAAAAAAGAATAATAACCCCACACACGGTAGATCAGGAGAAGCTGGCAGGGCAGTAAAATTTATGTAGTATATTATGAATTTTCTTAAAATTGACAATTCATTGAATTTCTGGCCCAACATCAGGCCTCACTTTGCAGAGGAGACACATTCTGGAAGAATAGAGTTTGTCTTCTCATTGACCTCTAGGATAAAAGAAAATTTTTTCTTCACAACAGAGGGGCCCCCTTTTATTTTATTTTATTTTTAAAATTTTAATATTTATTTATTTTTGAGACAGAGACAGAGCAGGAGTGGGGAAGGAGCAGAGAGAGAGGGAGACACAGAATCTGAAGCAGCTCCAGGCTCTGAGCTGTCAGCACAGAGCCCAACACGGGGCTCGAACCTACAAACCATGAGATCATGACCAGAGTTAATGTTGGACATTCAACCAACGGAGCCACCCAGGCGCCCCTGAAAGCCACCTTTTTTGTACAAGAATGTATCAGGCACATGCTACCCCGTTTTCCAGCGCCTGGGTCTTTAACTGTGGGATTTTTAAATGACATCCCGTGGGTGATGCTGACTTCCATGTGCTCTCTGTCACCTCTCCGACAGAATAACATGCAAAGACATTCCGTGAAGTGCGACGCAGGGCAAGGAAAGCCGGCTGGCTCCGGAAAAGGGAGAAGAACGGAGAGGAGAAACCTGGCCGTCCTGAAAGAGGCAGGAAAGGAAGACGGTAACTCATTTTAAACAAACTGGGTTTTAATTTGACAGCGATTTCCTTTTTTGTCACCTCCGGGTGCTGAGTGTTACCGTGTAGGGGACTCACTCAGAAGCCCTAAGTGCCGGTCCCAGAAAGGTCCTGGGCCCAGCTCTGTTGCTACTTGCTGCCACCTCAGGCAGGTTTTGAACTCCACTCTGCCCCATGTGGGTCATTGGCTCAGTGGAAGCCATTACTTTGCGCAGGTGCAAAGAGCCCCAGGCGGCGTCCATGGCTCCTCGCCGGTTCCTGGCAGGACAGTCAGCGAGGCTGAAGGCCGTCCCCCTCGCGGAGCCGGTGGCCCGTCACCTGCACCTGTCGTGCAGCTGAGGGCTCAGAGCGTCACGGGCTCACTGCCTCCTAGTTCTGGGGCCCAGAAGCCCCAACTCAAGGTGTCATAGAGCTCGTTCTCCTTCCGAAGGTTCTGGGGAGACGCCCTCCCGCCTCTCCCGGCTTCTGGTGGCTCCCGGGGTCCCTCGGCCTGGGGCCACATCACTCAAGTCTCTGCCTGTGTCTTTGCATGGGCTTTGTCCCTGTTCTGTCTCTCATCTTCTTTCTAAGGACACTTGTCACCCGACGTGGAGCCTGTGTGGAAAAGCGGGATAATCTGCTCTTGGGACCCTTAATTATATCTTCAGAGACACAAGGTTACCTTCACAGGTTGCAGGGGTGAGGATGTGGGCGTATCTTTGCGGGGGGGTCGCTGTGGGTATCATAGTCTTTATCCTCTGGCCTCAGCGAGCAGACGTGGGCCCCCAGGTTAGAGCAAAACGGGCCTGAGTCCAGCCTGCCCTCTACGAGGCTCTGCTCCAAGAGGGGACAGACCTTCGCCCTCGCAGGCGCTCCGGTCACGTCCTCTGTTCCTGTCCCACGAGGACCCTAGACTGGAGGGGGGGCTGGAGGCAAACACAGACGGAAAATGTTTGCGTGACCTTCTCAGTCTTAAATGCCCCGTGTTCGATCCTGCCCCGAATCCGAGGCTAGCGGATGTGCCCGCGGATGGCAGTCCGCCCTTTCCGTGTTTCAGAGTTACCTGGGGAGACAGGGTGCCGGCCAAACTTGCATTTCCTGTTTAGTGTGAGTATATCCCATGCACTATTTGAGATATACTTGTACTAAAGTGTTACGCATCGTGCTTGGAACGTGGGTGGCAGGACTGGAGTTCTGATCTGGGCTGTGCGATCTGTGGGGGCTTCCTCAGTATCCCCACGCCCTCCCACCCGGGCGGGAGCCCAGCCCTCCCCCTCCCGCTCCCCCCCTCCTCCCGCTCCCCTCCTCATCCTCCCGCTCCCCTCCTCC